CCCGCTCCGCCGGCACAGCCCGCTCCGCCGGCACAGCCCGCTCCGCCCGCCGGCAGCCCCCGCCCGGCCCCAGCCGCTCCCGGAGCCGCGCCCGCCCCGTGCCGAGCTGGGCCGAGCCGTGCGGGGCCACCCCGGGCCGGGCCGGGCCACCCCCGCTCCCGCCTCGGCAGCGGCACCGCACAGCCCTGGTAGGAAATGAAACACCTCGGCGGGGTCCCGGAGCCCCGCGGGGAGGAGGAGCCTCACACACGTCAGGGCCGGGGCTGGGGCGGCCCGGCCGCGGCACCGCTCGGCTGCGATCGGCCCGGCTCAGCCCGGAGGCCCCGCGAGTTCGGAGCCCGGCCCGGCCCGGATCCCCCCCAGGTTCGGAGCCCAGCCCGGCCCGGCCCGGGCGGTGCTGCCGCGCCCCGCGCTCCCTCCGAGGGCCGGACCGGCCCTTCCCAAGCTCGGCAGGCACGCTCGTCACGGGTTTGCAGCCTGATCATTAGAGATACCCACTCCCTTCGAGACCCTTACTATGAAAGCCGCTTTCCTATCAACCTTCCTATGAACAGCCGCTGTCACAGGTCTGTGGGACAGAGGAATGGCCTAACGGGGCTAGTTCAAGAGAGCAAGTATCACCAACTGATCCAAGATTTGCCTCTGTACTTTCTTGCACCTCCCAAATCCAACTATTAAACTCCCTTGGAGGGTCTGAAATGCATCTTAAATCAAGATGCAAAGCAGCTTTTTAGTCATGTTGTAGCACACAAAGCCCATTACCTAGGCCTCGGCTAAATGCTTTATTACTCGACAAGATGCTGTGAGGATGTGATTAAATTTGGGACTTCAACAAGTGTGTCTGCAGCCTCTGAAGAGGATATTCTAACTCCACCATGATGGGAGAGACCCAAGCCATGTCAGCCATGCAAAATCTGAATACTATAAATCCTTACATTACAATTTTATAAAGTGCTTTGTGTTTATATCTAAAAAACAAAAGGCAATAAAAGATAGACTGTATCATACTTGGTACCATTAAAATGATGCTAGTAAGGTATTTTCAGTATTTTAGGGGTTTTTTATACTCTTATACTATATGTGGCAATTCCCTGAATTCATTCTGAAGCCTCCCTGAAGCTTCAGAAGAAAAATCTGTGCTCTTGTAGAAGAATAGGGTTCATTAAAGCATGCATTTGAGCAAACCCTCAAAAATATAGAATTAGATGGACTTTGCAAACAGATTTAAGTAAAGGTAAGTCCATACGAAGTCTTGAAAGTATCCTTTACCACTTGGGAAAAAAAAAAAAGAAAAAATCTTTTCTACCCTTTTTGTTTTACTGCCACAACATCCTTCTTTCAAGATCAAAAGCTTTAGATCAAAGCCAAGATCAAACTCAATGCTTTAAATAGAAGCAACTTCACTATGAACCATTAAACAAAGAAGAACTTTTTAACACAGATATCACAGTAGAAAATCTTACTACAGTCTTTTATTTTGTACTCACAAGGTCTACTTGAAACTAACATATTTTTGTTTTGTAAAGCCATGACAAATTTTTTACTATGATAATTCTGAAAGCTCCTATAACTTGACTCTTGAACTGAGTGCATTTGAATGAAGAAAGAAGAACAGAGCATAGTTCAAAGAGAATGAACAAAATTACAAACAAAAAATTATGTTAATCGCAAACACAGATGAATGCAACTACCTAAAGTATTTCCTTGGATCAGTTAACAAATTAGATTGAATATTCCCACAGAAGTAGTTATGGGAAACGCTGGACCACAGAAAAAATGAAACATATTTATACTTTAAATCCTTCAAAGAATTACACTTTCTTTCCTGTCAAATGTTTGGAGGAAACCAGGGAAAAAAAATTACCAGAGACACTGATTGTCAGACCTGCAGACCCTGAAGCTGATTTGGGATGAAAATCCATAAACATACAAATATACTGTGTGTTAAACCCCAGAGGCAGCTCCTGTTTTCTTGTTAATAGCTGCAGAGTAGTGAAGGAAACTCAAGGGGAATTGTTACTGACTTTTCCTATTGGTAATATACCCTGTGGAGCCAACAGCTGGGGTTCCCTGGAGCTGGCTGCTGTGCACATCCTACCTGAGACACTCAGCTACTGAGATGAGAGCCCTGCAGCACAAGGTGAGAGCCAACATGCCAGTGCAGACACCTGCAGAGGGAAGAGGGCAGAGACAGAAACAGGGTGGGCCTAACAAGCTGCAGTCACACCACGCTGGTTGTGCAGTCAACTGTTCACTTATTGATACTGAGATTTAGCTCATAACCAGACCAGGAAATTTTGCTGGGATTGGAAGAGAGAGCATGGAAGAGAGAGAGCAGATGAAGAGGAAAAGAAGAAGGGAACTGGAAAAAAGGAGAGAAGGAGGTTAAGGGAGGTAGGGGGGAGAAGATTTTTTAAGAACATTTTGTCTCCTACTGTATTCCTCTGTACTTCAAAAGCTTACTTACACCAGATAAAAGAGTGATGGTACACCCAGTTTAAAGTGAGAATGACTGCATTACCCTCTATCAACTGTCCTGTTGGCTGTCCACATGACACTGTCATACTTAAATCCCTTCACAATAGAAATTAGGAGATTAGTCCATCCTCTGTGTCCTTTTTCACTTGTGAAGACTTTGTTTCAGAGACTACTAATGGAGCTGTCCTGTATAACAGTTAAAACATGTCAAAACACGCTAGGATCCTTCAGTCTTGCAACGTCAGGATTAAACATAACTGCATTTTGAAAAATAGGGGGAGAAAGAAGCACTTTCTACCAACTGGGTGAAGGTAGGTCTAATATCCTGGTAAATAACTTAGGCAATGGTTTACACCAGTTCCTCTTCAAGCCAGACCAGATCCCAAGCATAAAAGGAACTTTCAGAATTGTGAAAACAATAGGGGATTTGTGCAACAGACAACTGTTTCATTTTACATCGAAACAGAAACTGGTTTTAAATTGTTCTGGCTGTGATGGCTAATGGAGATATTTCATAACTAAGTGAAAAACTATAATCATGCACTTTGCATACGTTGTCTGTAACTTCACTTCCTCTGTGCTGCCCTTATGCAAAGACAGTAAGTATTGACAAACCAAGAAGGTAGTTTTACCTAAGGTGAACATTGAATCAATACCATTTTAGGCTTTCCAGCAGTCCTCAGATACTGGAAGGCAAAAAGAAAAAGATGAAAATGTGGAATAAAAATATTTACTGTAAATGAATTTCAGAAGAGCTCCTGCAAAGCAGAGGAAATTGATAACTAATGCAGTCGTTTTCCAGCCTCTCATTTCTAGAGATATTATGTTCCCCTCAATTACTGAAATTTACACCACATATACACCCTGACATTTATATATTCAGATCTGCACGGACACCAGCAAGAGCACAGAAAAGTCATTTTCTCCTAGATGATGTAGCTAAGTTCACCAGTCTACAAATTGCAATTTTGTAGCTTTTTACATCTTCCCATTTAACAGAAAACAAAAAATGGACTCCCTCCTAGTTTCATCGTACCATATTAGAATGATACAGCTTACTTTCTAAGGTTGATGCCATCATCTCTGCAATATCAGAAATGGATAATTTAAAGGCACTACGATAAAATGTAGGGTATACAATTGTTTTCTTACCACACAGATGATTTACTGGGAAAAAAAGAACACTAGTTAGAAAATTAGCTTACTTGGAGACTGAGAATATAGTGTGCCTTCAGAACAGTCTGTATGACCTGAAAATTGTTTCAGCAGGAAAAACCTGGCTTCCAATCTTTTGTAAAAAAAGTTCAGAAAATGGAAGCACAGAAAAGTATTTTATCCAGTAGCTCACTAGATGATCAAATATGTCTTGCAGCATTTGACTGAGAAAACAATTGTAAGGATTTTAAAACACTACTGTTACCAGAATTTGGCAGAGAAACTAAGCAGGTAGTGGGCTACATCTGAAAATGACAAAATGGTTAGTGCATCCACATTGCAAGAAACAGTAAATCTGCAGCAAATAAAAATTACTGAAAAAGAAATCCAGCCCAGAATGTTCTCCTATAAGAACAGTGAGTTCTCCAACTGATTTTGTGCAGTTTTCATGTGTACAGCTTTATTCATTGAAATGGAAAATCAAGTTTTTCTGACATTATTCATTTTCTAAGAAAGATGATCATGTTCTAAATGTTCTAATTCCTCCAAGAGTCACTGTGGTGATGTAAACACATTCTTTTCAGGTCAGCATGCTGATCTGATATTTTTCAACACAAACATCCCTACAGAGAAATTCTGTTCAAGTCAAACTTCCTCTTCCTTAAAATATGTCTACCTCCCCTACTGAAACAATAGAATCAGCTGGGTTGGAAAAGACCTCCGAGACCATCAAGTCCAACCCCAATCCAACCCTGCCGTGGTTCCCAGACCATGGCACTGGTGCCACAGTGAGGATGTACTCTCAGCACACTGCAACAGGACTTTCACATACTATGGCAGAAATGTTTTTCAAATTGGTGATCCAAGTATATCCTTCATATCCACATTAGCAACTCTGCTTTGTGAAGAAAGTTACTACGTAAAGATGAATCACTGAATCCCCAGAACCACCTATTTAGTTGCAAGATCGGATTCATAATTTTATAAAGAAAGCATCTCTAACAACAATACCACAGGATCTCTAAATAATATGTTTCTTACTAAATAATTGTATGTAGCATATATATGATATATAGCATATGATATATGATTTATGTATCATATAGGGTTATATTATCTATATTATGATAAAATATTATCTATACTATGAGAATATTTTTAGAGTATGCTAAAATGGTCTCTTTGGTTTCTTCCTCTTCTAATTTCACTAGGTCCTCTCACTACTATACAGTTGCCTCTGGAGCAACTGGAAAAGTAGTTTGCTGGTTTACATTTAGACCTTTCTGCTTGAGAACTACTGCCACGTGCTCTGAATTTCCAACGCAGTCCAGAGTACAAGTTACAACATCTTTCTCTAAAAGTAGCAAGATATAACTCTTTTTAATACAATCACATATGGACATAAACCCTCAGATTTTAGGTTGGCCCTGCACTCCGTAATGAATCAGCAGGTCACGCTTTTTGGGTTAGCACTACAGAGGGATGCATGGACATCAGGTGCATAGTATGTGTTTTTACATGTGTGAAATACATCTTCCCCACATATTCACTCCTTCCAGTCACAAACATGTCTTTCTAAAAGCTTAGAAAACAGGGAAATTTTCAAGGAAGTAAAATTTAGAGTGTTCTTTTAAAAACCCAAGACCACTGGGAACGGTAGGTGGCAACTTGTTTCTGTCACATAAAATTTCTACCTCAGCTTCAGGCCCTTTATCCTCCTGCACTAAAAAGATCTCAAATATTATTTCCTAGAGTAGCATTTGACTTTTCATTATGTCATAACCTCATTCCGATGCAATAAAACTACTTATAAGGAACCCCAAACTGGAGAGATTTCAGGCATACCAAAGCTTACTCTTTCCTAATTAATAGAGAAAAGCTGTTTTCTTGAAAGGTAGCACAAAAAATATTTTAAACCTTAATGGTTTGTTTCCATTGAGTAAAGAAAACAATGAGCAGGCTAAAAATTAATTGGTTGCTAACTTCTGTGCTTTTCTTCGGATGTTTTTACAAGAAACGAATTAAAATCAATGTTTATTGCTATGCAAGCCCAGCTGTGTCCTCATTAAGCAAGTCTACCTTCAACATTTCTGTGAAAAAGAGGGCCTGTCCTCCCTCTCTTTGCTATGTTTTCACCCCCTGCACATGTAGGTGGGAGAGTGGGAGCTTGGGAATGTGAACTCAATCCAGCATTGATCAGCCAGGCAGGAAACTGTTATTGTTCTTAGATACCAAACACAACTCCTTTCCAGTACGCAGAAGCTCAGCCATTCTGCACATAACACAGCTTTTGTGTTCAGCAATGCAATTAATAGGAAAAGGGAATGAAAATGACTGCCTGAGATTTATTAAACTTAAAAGAGATCCTAATGAACAAACAGAAGGAATCCAGCCCACACTTACTGCAGAAATCGAACATTAGTTTCAAACGCACTTCAACGTCTCGACCAAGTTATTACTTGTGCAAATTTACTCTACTACTACAAGTACTTTACCTCTGAGCTGAACACACATGATACTGAAAGGCAGTCTGAAGAAAAACAGAATCACTTTTGTGAAAATCTGGCTTTTAACTGAAGAGGTAAGTCAATGTTTTAGCAGGTCATAAAACTAAATCCAGTAAAGTATCCTCCTCATCCTTAATGTAGACTCATGGTCCCAGCTGAGAATCTCAAAAGCTTTTTTTTTTTTCTTAATTATTCACTTCATAAATTGAGACTCCTAAATTAAGACTCCTAAAACCCTGTTTTAAGCTTCACTTTTGGAATTCAGAACAACAAAGGCACTAAAATGTTACAGTCAATACTTTCAACTCTAACTTTTAAAAGTTACATTCAACCTAGACACCAAGTTACTCAGTGCCCCCTGAGCATCTAACCTGAGGCAGCATGTTACCCCATTTTAGAATGTAATCACACAATACTTTGTAACAACACTATTCGGATCTCAAATGTCTGTGGTTTTCTCCTAAATCAGCAATCACATGCAATGCAGAAGAAACTTAAATCAAACCCTCCAAAATGATAACAATACTTTAAATCACACCTGAACTTCAAGAGTTCCGTAACAAATTTGTGTCCTTACTAACATTTAATGATGTATCTTTTTATATAAACCATTTTCATGAACTTTTGAACTATTCTACAAACAAAAATACACCACTGTTGTGCCTCATTTAGCAGTACCTTAACTGCAATTTACAAGAATGGCTAAATAAATTACAAGGCCATTTTATGCCAATAACCTTCTTTAGATAAATACAGATCTATTTAAATAATAACAGACCTTACATCTTTTTTGACAGTTTGTTGCAAACAAAATTCTCTGTATCCTGTGGTCTATCTAGAAAACTTTCAGGTGGATAATCTATTTTTTTCGGAGTCAACAACATAGAGATTGAGTTTGTCTGTCTTGTTTATCTTCATGATTCATCTAACATTTATGCATGCTACAGTACTATATACATTGATTACAGTTTTATATCTTCCCAAAATCTTTATTCTAAGAAAATGGGATGCAATGTTGTCAGTAGAACTGATAATCTCAGAAAAAACACAGCACTAATAACTCACATTCAAAAACTTCTTTCTTATTGTGCTTGCTATCACTACAGAAGACATTAAACAATTGATATTGTTGATTTATGCTCATTTACATTTTTAAAAATTTAAGAAAGATCTTTTAATCTTCCAGTCTGCAAACTTGCTAATACAAAAAAATTACCAATTTTCTTGAGTGGAAGTGCCTATTCATCAAAGTGTGATTTCCACGTATAAGAACAAGTATATATGTTAAGGCAGCAGTTATGCTTTCTTCAGATTATTTCTCAAACAGAATTCAACCATCAGTTGAATCAGTTATATTCTCTGTGCTGGTATTAAAAACACACACAAAAATCTCCATGTTCAGATAAAAAAATAATCAAGTGGTAAGTATCCCCTAAGTATTTAATCAGCAGCCTGCTGTTCTTGGGACTAATACTTAACACTAATTTTGAAATTAATGTGAGATTCACTATTAAATGTTATTAAATACCAAAGAAAATTATACCTCTCATAGACCCTTCCCATTTTTTTCCCCAAATCACACACTTGAATGAGATTTACATACTTAGGAGGTCATTCCCACTGCCAATGCCTACAAATTTACAGTATCTCAACAAACAGCAAGCATTTCACTTCTTTACTGTCTCATGTTGCCAACCACCAATATATAGTTACTATGTACACCCCAAAAGGAAAACTTCAAGATAAGGCATGACTAGCAATGACAAGAAATATCAAGTGTTAACAACCCTAAGCCATACTCTGATCCAATAAGAGTGATTTTTATGCAAGAAAAATTTTCTAGTACCCTCTATAAAACTGGAGTGCACAACTGGAGTTTAGTAAGAGCATTCTTTTGAAAAATATTTGAATGTGGTAACTGACCATAGCTGCTACCCTGTGAAGCATTCTCCTGTAGAGCCATCCCTTCATCCATATTTTTGTCTTAAAAAAGGGAAACAGGAAATCTATACAGCTTATAATTGGGGCAAAAGCCAGGACCCTTCTTAACAGCAAACTGCTTTATCAGAAATCATATTAAGTACTTGAGCTGCTGCTGTAATATCCTCCTAAAATTTATGAAACCACAGAAGTACTCGACTTGCATTGATTTAGAACTGTTCGCAAATTATATTTCAGCTTAAATTTTTAAACAGTTTTGCCATGAGTTTCCTCTCCAATCCATTTTTTCTTTGAGTAGGACAATCAGGGAATCACAGAATGATTTGGGTTGAAAGGGATCTCAAGCATCATCTAGTTCCAACCCACCTGCCATGGGCAGAGCTACCTTCCACCAGACAGGCTGCTCAAATCCAAGAGCCAATCACGTACAAACAAAACTCTTTATTTAAAATCATACCTGTTATAAATTCAGGTAATGATTTAAATAACATAATGTAATGAGAAGAGCAAGACTCCAGAAGGGACTGTGAACTGGTATTTTATATTTACCTTTGGTATTCCAGAAGTGTCAAGCCAGTTCCGGAAGATACTTTCAACAGTTAACCCGGATCTTGGGGAGGGGAAAAATAAATTAGAAGACATGCACAAAAATATCATTTTTTTTCATATACAAAAATAACCCTTTAGAAGCTAAGGAAACTCCCTAATTCCAAGTATTTGTTGTACTGCAGTGGTACTACATTCTTGGGTTTTTAATGAATAATACCATAACGGGTCACACAAGCAAATCAGGCAGATCAGGTTTTCTGTGCTCAAAACTCAAATGATAAATTCAGTGCTTATGAGGATTGACAGAGAAAGTATTAGGTGGTAAACCACATTTATGGAGCACGTGAAGTATGAACAGGTCCTCTGCTTCTCACTGAGTGGCTTTTTGGTTTCTTTACAGGAAAAAAGTCTTAGGCAAGCACATTTATACTGAAACATTCAAAACCAGTAGTTTATTAAAGCAGCAGCCTAAATGTAAAGATAAAACACTAAATTAAATTAAATACAAACTTCCTCAAACTTTTAGGTTTTAAAAGGCACTGATGGATATTAATTCTCAAAGTTACCAAGTATCTAATAAACTCTAGCTTTGTCTTTTCTGCACTTTCTTTATATCCTGATGAAATCACAGTGAAATCACAGAAAAGTTTGGAGCTCCAGCAAAAGGAAATAGTCTCTTATGATCAAGCCCTGTGGGACTGAAATAACCACATGCTAAGTATTTGCAAATTCAGACATCATATTTCCCCTTTTACTTTTGTAGCCAACTTCTGTTGCATTTACTTCAGCTCTGGTTGGAGACTTCCCAACTTGCAGGGAACTCAAATAAAAAGAAATTTAAAACAATTTTTTTAAAAAATGACACTGTCCATGCAGTGTGCTGTGTGCCAGTGCTGGAGAAAGGGAGTTGGAGAAACCCTCAATGAATGCAAATATTCTGAGGAGCAGAACAGATGTGTGTGGTCCTGTGCATGGGGATGCCTTGGCAAGGCTCGTTCTCACACTTGCAGCTACTTTCACATGTGGAATGCAGACTCAGAGCAAGCAAAGCATTCATGAAAAGAACAACCATTTCAAAGCTCTGAATCAGGAAGGCAAAGCAACTCAATACAACTTTTTCTCTGATCACGTGATTCAAATAATTGCAGCAGTCAAGCAGAAATGTTTCTACACAGCTAGAATTCTGAATTTTAAGGAAAACACCACTGTGCATGTTTGAATATATAAATAAATTTGTTACAGAAAACTTAACATGTATGTGATGCTTGTGTAGTGTTCCACATTCAAATAAATTATTAAACATCCAGGCTTGTTCCTTGATATTTATTCAAACTTATGAAATTTAGAGCATTTGACTGCTATATCCTTCAAAGTATAATTGCCTTCACCTTACCATCATGCTCTAAAAATTGGTGTCTAGTCTTAAGTTAGTTATCTGAGTCCCTTCTACAGGGAATAGAGAAAAGGAAGAGTATTTCCAAACAGTTAATCAACGTACTTTCCTCAGAATAAGATGATGTTCTTGAGTTCTCTTTTCTGTCTGGTTACTAGAAAAAGTGCATACAGGACTAGCTTAAAACTGGGCACCAAAATTTTACACAGTTAAAGGTGTAAATGTGGATTGTACCACTTATTCCATCTCAGGTACTACAAGCAGAATAACAATTTTTTTAATTTGTTATTGCATGAATCAAAACAAATACAGCTCAGTGTTCTAATGCTGAAGCAGAACTAGGAGCTGGGGAAAATTCCCTTATCTGTGCATTTAGTTTGTCTTACCAAGGGATAAGAAAACAGCCTCACAATGCCAGGTAGTCCTTTTTCCTCCCTCCCCCAGAAGCTAAACTTACACTGTGAGATTTCCTTATGATAAAAAAACTCCGCAAAATAACCTACGTTACATTTGCTATGTAGAGCATTTATATAATACATCCCCTAATTTCAAAAACTGGCATTTGTGACACTGAGGGGAATCACACTGCTCTGCCACTACACTAACCCAGGCAGTAAACCACTAGACAGTTACTCGGCCTTTCCTAAAACTATCCTTTTCCCCAAGGGCAAAGACAAGGGTGCTGCTGTTTCTCTGCCTGCAGCACCCCCAGTTTCAGCCAAACACCTGCCATATGACCATATGCAATCTTCTTTGTTTCTATTTGGACACACCTTTTTTTATTCCAACTTAGGACATTCTTGTTGGCACCTATCAAAAGAAACAACTTGGTTCAGCAGTTTACAGGCATCCACTATTTTTTTTTAATATATTAGTAATAAGCAGACCTGCTCTGAACCTTTTAAGAGTCAGTACTGAAGAACTGTGAAGACGTTGGAGGCTTCCACTAACTTGCTTGGCTTCAAAACAACCCCCAAAAATTTATCACAAACTATTGCTGTTTCAAAAAAAAACACATGGTAGGAAAGGACAGACGGCCTGGTATTTGTAGAGGCTGCAGTTCAGTGAGGGCACTTACCACCCACTTAGGTTGCAGTTAAGCATCTGTAAGGGCTTAAATGTGGTGTTTGTGTGAATTTCTGGATGGGTTTCTGTTTAAGATTCTGCACTGGACTGTGGGATCTGGGTTCCATTGTTCAGGTTCTTCAATTGCTTCCTACTGCAGTTCCCTGCTGTAAAATGAGAATGGGTTTACATCCATTATCTCCCCCCTTTTCTATTTGTTTAGATGATAAGCCAATCAGCCTAGGAATTATTTCCTGACATGCATACATACAGTTCATGGCCAGATTCAATGCTTCAGAGCAAGGTCTGTAAAACACTAACATTAACGATAACTTGAAAATGAGCATTTAAAAAGATGTCTATATATCAAGTTTTCATTGCACAAGGCCCCAGGGCACTCTACAAACTTCAGGATAAACCCACTTACTTCCTAAATCAAGAGGAAGAAACCATGAAAGTGTGAAATTTTTTTTTATATGTAAAGGAGGATAGAAAAGTCTGCCATATCCAACTGAAATGAATAGCTGAGTAGTTTGAAATTGATGCATTATTTTAGTACTTAATTGACAAATTATGAAGACATCCAAGGAATGTAGTTAGTGAGTCTGGGTTACTAACAGTACAAATAGTAGAGCTGTACCACAAGCCTTCCTTTGTCTATCACATATTATTAAAATCATAGCTTAGTAGTAGACTTGATTATTTTATTGAATGAAATGAAATAAAAACTACGAGCAGAAAACTCCAAAGACCAGAACTGACCTGCTCAAAAAAAATCTGCAGTCACAAAGTAGCTGCACAAGCAGCAACTCTTTAGAGATTTAAAGATTTATCTGAGACTAGTGAAACTCCCCCTCTGTTCCAGGGGTAAATATTGAGCCTTGGCCCAGCTCACGTGCTGGGCAGATGTGCAGAGGATGAAGGTGCAGCACAGACTGTGGGTGTGAGCCTTGGGGAGAACAGAGCCACCAGGAGCTTTATAAAACCTAGTGCACTATATTATAAAGACACACAGGAGGGGTTTGTTGGTGTCTGTTTTGGTTTGTTTGTTTTTTTCAATGTAGTGAAGTCTCAAATGATACATGAGCAAGTCAAATGCCTCAGTTACAGGTGGGAGGTACTGCAGCTGTTCTGCAGAAGGGCCAAGGTAATGTGAGACTCCAGCCAGTGCATGGAATATTTTAAAAATCTTTCTAAACAGAAAAGGGTAATGATGAATCTCTGTTTGTCCTTCTCACCAGTAGCCCTTCACACAGACAAATAATCTGCCTTAAAGGCAAGTTAAGAAATTATAAAGGCCCAGAAGGCAGTGCTCAGCCTATCTGGTATGAGCATTCAGCTGCAGTCCAGAACCAGAAGGATCCTCCTCCCAGGATGAATTCCTGCAGCCAGCATGCCATGATAATTGAATCAGAGCAGGAAGGGAAGGAGCCCTATTAACCAGGCATAAAAATCTCCTCCTCTGAACACAGAAGGCAGCAAAAATCAGTGACTGCCCCTTAAAAAATTACATCTGTATCTTGGAACTACTCATCACTGGGAATGAACTTTAAAATCTCCTTTAAATAAAAACTACAGGAATTAAGTACCGAAAGGTGAAAATCTTTTAGATGTAGCCACTGTATCCAACAGCAGAGAGTGAGTTCATGTTACATCACTGCAGTGTAGTAATTATAGAAAATATCCACACTCTTGGATGACCATTTTTTGCCAATATTTATCCTGTTCTCATTACAACCATCTCCCATAAGCCAAGTTCTACTGCTAACTACACTAGTTTCCCTCTGTTGCCACAGCTGAGGGCAGGATTTGGATTGATTATCTACTACACATTTCTCTTTTCTTCTTTTTTTTTTTTTTTTTTTTGTTTAAGACCAGCCTCCATTACAAACTTCGGTGTCTTAGAGTGCTTAATATTTGTCAAATTTGCAGCATTTAGTTTAAACTTTTAAAATTTGCTTGGTAGAATTGCACAAGTCTGGAAGGTTTTGTGTGCTACAAAGAATTTTGTTGCTCTAGTATGGAAATGCACTTCATTCCCACAACAAACTTTGTGTAAAAAAGAACTGATCAATAGATGATCTCTAAAAATAATTCATTTTCTCTTTCCTCCCTTTTCTTTTACCTCAGGTGAGTATTTCTGAACTAGGAACAGAAAGTGTTTAAGAATGAAAAAACATCCTTGCAGCAGATAAGAAATAAAGGCCTTCTGTATATCCAGATACTCTATTATTCTTGCATTGCTGTTGAAATCTGCATCCAAGGTAATTTTGGTTCAGATATGCTACATATATGACTGTAAAATGAATTACCATAGATCTGAAATTTTGTTCATACATTCTGGAGTGTGATGCATCACAAATGGAGCCATACTTCTTTTGCATTAATCTCACTGAAAGTTAAAATATACTGGCATGTGTATAGGCAGAAAATTGGATGCTTATGCAAATAACATTTTGCACTTGGTTTGGACTTCAGAGAAACATAAGAAAAAAAGGAAGGAAAACGAGTTTTCTTAAACAAATTAATGTATAATCATACCACTAAAAAATCCACTTTTGTATATATTCCATATATATATATAATTCCTGCTTATATTTTGGCAGGAAATTATACTCAGTTAGATAAACAAAGTATCATCCTTCAGTACATCATTGGAAAATGTAACACCACCCTAACTAAATTCAGAGTGTCACAAAACACATTTTCTCAATGATAATGAGCTTCTTTGTCCCTCAACCTTTAGGAACAGAAGTGTTTCACTAAAAAACTCAATACATTTGACTTCGATGAATTTCTTCTCTCCTTTTTTTTTTCTCCAAACCACTCATCCAGAGTTATCACCACTTTTGGAATACTGGTCTTCAAAGTTACATTTTTCAAGTAAATACATTATTTTTTAAAAGTATAATATGTAAAGCTCCACTATAAAAGAATCTGTATTTGTAGCACAGTCTACAGTAGCACAGAACAAACCAACAGATAAGCAGGGATAGATTCCAAGTGCTGCTGAAGACAATCTGAGTCATATCCAACCAGCCACAGTCACACACAGGAGGATTCTGGAGGACATGTCAGACAATTAATGCTGGATTTCCATCTTTCCTCTCTGGGTACACTGTATGACAGGGAGGAGATGGCACCAGACTACTTCTTGAGAAAAATGCATTTTCTCTGGTTTGCCAGATGCATAGCAAGGTTCTGGCACCCTTGCTCCTGGGGGCCACTTGCCAAAGGAAGCTGGCAGGCAGAGCAGAGGGTAATTTGGGTGGGTAGCTATGCCTGGAACTTCAGTTGCACAGTGAACACAGTTAGGACAGCACTTCTGACCTAACAGGCAAGTTAAAGGCACTGCTCAGGGAGAGCAGGCACAGCAATAAAACGGCAAGGCCCACAAGGTTTTGTGTCCATATGTATGGGAATTTTCAGAGAAACACACACTTAAAAAAACCAGAACAATACTAAATGAAATCACTAAATGAAATCACACTATTTCTGGCTAGCACAGCTGATATTTAAATCTGATTTTTACTTTTTTTTTTGGCTTTTCTAGCCCAGTTCTTACTTTTTTTGTTTAGGGATGTCTTCCAACAGCATGCAAAGGAAATCCTGGAAAAGGAACAAAGCACCACAGTTAGTATGCTTATGAAGATGTAACCCTGTGTCTGCATTGCTAGTGAGCAACGTTTTCTTACAGACTGCAAATAAAAGAATGATAAGAAATAAATTTATATATTGCTATGGTGATATATTGCTCATTATGTTTGGCAGTTTTCCAATCCACTCATGCAAAAAGTGTCAACACTGAAAGAAAATGGACTTGAAAAGTCTGCTGACTGTTTTAACACAATCCCACATTCCCACTTTTATTTACAATATGCACACACACACACAAACTATATTTAAAACTGTTAAAGGTTGCAGATTCACATACTCAAAGGTTAGGAAACACCAAAATTAAGGGTGTTTACATGTTCTTCAATGTGCTTACGTTATCACACTGTCTTTAATTATATAACTACATAAGGCTTTTTCTTCCTGAATGCCCAGGCCTGACTAGAAGATCACACCTACTCCTCATTCCACAACAAAATCCACAACGTTGCTGATAACCACCTCAACTAATGAGTAAATTCTTCAAAGAAAAAACAACCAGAATTTATTTCAGGTATTTATAAGGACGTTTCAATGCCAATGGAAGAGCATTATTATCATCCTCACTTCTACCAGTATGATAACCCCCTATGGAAAGTTATGCCTGACATCACTCAAAGGTTTTCTGGCACCCTGTGCTCTACATGACATAATTTTAATGACCATCACTTTGACAGAATACACTCCTTTGAATAATCTCATAATAATAGGACTTATTAATGTGCATCATTCATTTATATGCTGTTTCATAAATCAATACATCCACTTTATTAATATTAATCTTTGTGGAGACAAGTTTCAGAGGTTGTTAATGTTCCACACTGCAGTATATGAGTGCAGGCTGATTTCTGATTGTAAGTCGTTGCTCTTCAAGGCCTTGAAGTATGTTTCCTAAAAGGTAATATTTTATTTAGACCTTGTCACAGCAGCCAACAAAAGATGCTGTTTCTCTGAGTGTGGCATTGTTAGGGAATCAAAGTAAGAGTGACTGCACACTTGCAGTAGAGTTAAGCCTTCCTCCTTCAGATCATAAGTGAGAGTCAGGCCCTGGAGCAGTGGCTGCAAAATTGGCTTATGACAAAAAGTAAATTTCACAGTGCTGGGCTCCGTGTTGCTGCAGCCAGAGTGGCATCACTGACTGTGCCAGGAGTCCTTCTGTCCCAGCTCCAGTGCACTGCTGACACCATGAGCAAGTGCGACATTCCCGTATTTCATACTCCCACTTGAAGTTCTGTACCATTATTCTGTATGTAAACAGAGAATTCCTCCACTTGTGGAAGTTTTGTTGGAGGTACTGAGTAAGCTTACATGTAAATAAAGAAAATGAAAAGTTCATGATTAGAGTTGTTTGAAAAGTGTGTGAAAAGTAAAACTGCAGTGGCCATCCCTCACACCATTTGCTGTGTCTGCACATATTAATGCAGCATGATTTCCTGACTGGATTGCATAGACTTATTATAATCAATCACATAGTATACTTAAAGATAGCTCTGGTATTAGAAGTGGGTTTATATTCTGTATATTATACTATGAAATTAAACATCTTTCTGATTAAAGTTGTCTTAATTTTTCCAAATATCTAATAAGAATAATGTAGAAACCATCAATCTACACACTGTCTTAAAATTAGGATTAATCTATTCTATCTTATTTTAACTGTTCCTATTTTGATGCTCCAAAACAGAGCAGGAAAACAAATTACCACTTACTCATACTAGCATGGCTTTTAACATTTGCCTATTATTAAGTCTGCATGACACATCTCATTATAGGTCTGACTTTACAATTGCTTATAATTTTGCCAAACTTTAACCATCTGGATTGCAATTTTCTCCTCATGGTATTTTTTTCTTCCTCCTTAGACAAAATAGTTTAGCAGTGCCCAAGAGAAAACTGAGAGGAATTCAGGGGGTTTTAAGCTTTGATGCCATGTCCTGGTGTGCTGGTTTAAAAGTTAACCAGCAGGGGAAACCAACCCAACTCAAAAGAGAGATTACAAATCAGAATAACAATTTAATAAAATAATACAATAAGTACGACCACACAGACAAGCAACTGGCCCTAACCCACAAAGCCCAAATGTACAACCCAGCACCCCAGGGCACAAACAAACGGTGCTCCCTGGGCCCCCCCGAGTCCAAAGCAAAGGGAGAGGGGAAAAACCTGCTGGTGGGAGAGCTGCTGCAGTCTGGCCAAAGTGGTGATTGCAGTTCAGTTGAGGGTGGTGGTCTCAGTCCAGCTGAGAGCAGTGAGCTGCAGTCTGGCTGAGAGCGGTGAGCTGCAGTCCTCCTCTGGATCCCACGAGAGGTGGAAAGGTTCTGAAACTCCAGGTTTATATATTCTCCAGCTCAGGCAGCAATGCTCAGTCCCTCCCCCAGAGCAGGGAATTCCATAAAAGGGTATGAGGACAGGAACATCCCCCCACCTTGCAGGCCTCTACTGACAACAGTTTCTGGGAAATGCCATGGAAGGTTACAGATTACACAGTTTTGGGCTACACCCATCCAGTGATGAATCGGTCCCAGCTGTTCTAACTAGGACACCTGGGGACCCTACACTTTGAAGCAAAGACTTGGGGACGACCAGGGTAATCATAAATAAAGTCTGGATCAGATTATAAAACAAGTTATAGTTTGTTCTTTGTTGCAAGTAATTCAGTGAAGGTAGAAAGAAAATATGAATTAGAAGTCATGTGCCACCCCAGTGCTGCAATAGGTACAAACTGGCTTATACTGATATGATCAAATCATCTCACTGCTCCTGTTGTTATTCCCTGGCTAGAGACTCAGAGGCTAGAAAACAACTTTTCCCTCTATAAAAAAAAGGTTATTCTGCAGTTTCTGTAACTCTATTGACATTTGGCCAAACTGAAAAAGCCTTAGAAAAATGAATTCACACATGTTCACTGAGGATTTGCTGGCCTCTTATAATTAAATTCCCTAATGACTCTTGTCCCTAATGCTCGCACTATAGCCCTGACTGAAGCCAACAATTTTAATCACAACTACAACTTTGGGTTGCTGCTGGGTAGATCAAACCTGGAGAAGACTGTGAATTTGAGATCAAGGAGAAATTTTCTTTGCACTGTTAATGGCTGTACACACATTGATATCAAATAAAGAACACTCAATATCAAAAGACAAATTATATCTTCATATGAAAACCTCAAATCTAGATATTTCAAATGCTCTACAACCAAAAGATACTTTAGTTTAAATCCTCTGACTGAAATATAAAAGCATAAAAGTGCATAAAAGCAATGGAGATTTCATGACTAAAAGTGACACATCTAAATGGACATTCACGTGGCAACAAATAAACTCAGATTGCACTTGCACCCAATTTCTTGCAGAAATTATCCACTCAAAGTTAAACTACTCCTAACAAATATGCAGTTTGTAAATTACATAACTAAATGGTAAATGTTAATTTATCCCCTCTGAGTGGAAAAATAAATAATGAGCACCATTTGTAGGTCCCCCCATTCATCTTCCTGGTTTTTGTTTAACAAAATCAACAATATTTTTAAATCCTTCTGTTGGGGTTTTGGTGAGGAGCCCAGAATGCAGTTCCAAAGATGATAATTCCTACCAAGAGCAAGTTTGACTCCCCACCTATATGTTCAATTATCAGACAGCAATCCTTGGCCAGACAGCTCAAAAGTTTAAGCCTCAGGGATGGAGCCACTGACTGGCTTCAGTCAAAATTCGGATTTGTTGCCTGTTATAACAGACAGAACTACATGAAAATTAAAGTCTGCAAACAATTCAATTCCCAGGATATTCCTATTTCAATATGAAGCAGAACAACAGCTTTAACTGTGTTACGAGTATCAGCAACTCTCACTCCTTCCTTTTTAGTTACAGCAAATAACACTCCACTCATTATTTTAAAAGTTCATTCAAAGCAATTAGTAAGTGGATTCCCTCACAGAAAGAAAACTGGAAGATTTTTTTAAAAATCTTTCTCAAAGATTCCAGACTTGGTTTACTCACCTATTGCTAACTCAATTAAAATAAACTACTATTAAAATCTTACTGAGCATGCAAACAAAACCAAGGAAAAAGGCAAACTGATGAACGTTTCACATCTGAAGTAATTTCCTTGCACCTGCAGCTCCCATCTAGGAAAATTACTACAAACACAACTGAAAACAAGACTAGTATTCATAATATGGGCAATTTTTCACTGGTTTACTTTTCCTTACGCCCAGAATTCTGAAGTTGGAAACTTTTACCATTATTTCGGACAAAGTGAAAATACAGCACTATGATATTTAAACTTACCATTTTCACCTCTATTTATTTTAAATCTTTTATTCATTTAAACACTGACCGCATGTTTGTTCAAGAAGAAACTTGAACAAGAAACTTTGTACTAACTTGATTTTATTGCTTCTGCATTTGCAATTCTTGCTGTGATTCATTATCTACCTATACCAGACACTAATATAAACACAATCTTTAAGACTAGTAGTATAATTTGCTGAGACATTTTGCAGCATTCAAACAATCCACTGACAACTCATCTCTCATCAACCAGGAGCAACAAGTTAACTTCTGTCATCAAAATAAGAGCACCTTCCTTACCACCAGATTAAAACACTGGGCTGCTTTTGCTGTTAGCAGTTTTGTGATTTCTGTAATTTTCAAAATTTTTCCATCTGTGTAATAGTGAAGCATCATTTTTATGATTTTGGACACCATAAGGTAGACAAGACTCCTACAGTCCCTGGCATTTTCCACACTATGCCACATGTGGTTCAGGGTGCCAGTAACAGGCACAGGAACAGCTGCATTAGTGTTCACCCCCTAACACCCCAAATATTCCTCCACAGGGCAGAGCTGCTGTGTTGGAGCTGCTGTGCCTGACTCTTGGGTGACCTGACATATGAAAGAATCCCCAGGTCTGTGAGCTGCTTGTAAGAAACATGGGCACACATCTCTCCCCACAAGAGTGAGATTCCAAACAGCAAGCATGCAAGCACAGGATCACTGTGGCTGGGAGACACAGCAAGTGTTGGACTCCAGTCCTGCAAAATCAGAGGCCTTTGCTCTGTGTTGCAAGGAGACATTTATCACCACCCAGAACATCCTCAAAGAATTGAACCATAACTCCATAAAAGACAGACCAGTAAAGAAACTGGTTTCAGAAATTCACTCATACCCCTTCCCCTTTCTCTTCCTTTGCCTCTCATTACACTGCTCTTCCAGCAATGCTAAATATTTGTTGTGTCGTAGGTTTTGTTCCAGGACTGTTTTTAACCATATGAGTTCAGAGTCCTGGTTCACAGACACCCCCATGAGTGGTTGTTTTCACAGCATTACTTGCAGTGCTGTGGAACCAGCTGGATTTATCACCAATGACAGGATTCCTAGAACTTTGGATTCACAGAGCTACATAATTTCCTAAATCAAAACAAAACTAGAGCCAACAGTTACAGGACTTTTCCAGAAAGACCTAGAGGGAGGTAAATTTGTACTCATTTGGTTTTGTCCTCATAAGAAGGACACTGAAATTACAGGCATTAAGTGAAGCAGCACGCAGAGAGGAAGAAAAGTCAGAAATATAATTTTTCCTCTTTCAGAAACAGAGGATAATCAGGTAAAAGACTGAATGATCAAAAGCAAAATCCATTAGCTAAAAGATTATGGGAGACAATTCCAGTATGGTAAAATGACCCTATCTTTGATGTCAGTATCTATGAACATTGACCTTTCAATGTAGCAAGTCAAAACAAATCACCCATTGTTTATATTATCAGATACTAACAAGGTGTCTGATTTATGTATAACTGTCAAAAAAATGTCCTGCCTTCTAGCAGGCAGTAATTTCACCCATATTGCCAAATGACAATTGCCTCTCTCTGTACAGCACAACCAGAAGTGAAGGTTTAGATAGTCAATCCCAAAGTTTGAGTCTTTTTTTTTTTCCAAAGGTGAAGCACAAGCCCAGGCACAGTACCTGAGAAAGGACGAGCTGCCCGTGGAACTTATGGACAAATTTTCGCAAAGACAGAAGGAATGAGGCCTCTCCTGCTGTCCTTGCCAGAGACCTCAAAAGGAAATAACCCTGCAAGACATTAAGGTAGAAACAAACAGGAAATTATGAATTTGCTGATGTCCAGAAGACACAAATCTTTATCACATTCGTAAAGCAACTTCAATAAAAATCAACTGACAACACTCACCTTCAAATAGTGAACCTGCATGAAGATTTTTTCTGCTTTAAGACCGTATTTGACAACAGATGCTCCAGACTCACTCAATTCTCCTGTGCTCTCCTTGTTGGGCCTAAAATAGAAACACACTAATTAAGTTTTGGATAAGTAAGTAAAGAAGTAACTCACACATTACTCGTTTTAATAGTTGAAAGCATCGTAAATGGCACAGTAACTGCAGACACCTGTGATCAGTTCAGTCTTCTTTACCCTGAATATATAATTTGACTTAGTCAAACAAATGAATTTCCTACTAAATTAAATCCATCACTAGGGTGGTGTACTCTTTTAACAGCCAGCATGACATCAGGTTCCATGTCATTCTCCAGTGTAGACAAATTATGAACAAAGAGAAACAAACAAACAAACGAGACATTTTAAGGGGAAGGGAAGAGGAAGGGGACAACAGTGAAGTCATTATGATTTCTCTTTATATACCTGATCAGTGGTCTAATAGCTTACATGACTACACTTGCAAGAATAACCTCTTTCATCTGCATGCAACACTAAGATTTGCTGGTGCTGTCTTTCAGAGTTGCTGCCTGTTGAAAAGACACTCACCTATTTCCTTCTGACCTCTTTTTTCACAGGCATCTTATGACATGCTACTACAACATAATACCAAATTCCATAATAAGAAGAAACATCAGGTTGGTAATCAGATGGCTGAGTAGCTTTCACCTAGTCTAAACAAGTATTCATTTGCTGGATCAAAAGCTAATGGGATCAGTTGACAAGTTGGGGGCAGATTTTTCCAGCTGTCCGGAGAAAGCACAGAAAATCATATGATTGTCCAACAGGGAACAAAAAAGTAATTAAGAATAAGCTTATGCTTGGGAAGAGTGGGTTGACTGATTTTTTTTTTCCTGACATGACTGGTAAGAAGTAACAAACAATTATCATTTACTTTTAATATCTGGTATACAAACACAGATTTGAACCAGCCCAAGCTTCAGCACAGGCTCAAAACCCAGCTCAGCTTCAGTCCTGTCCCTTCAGGGCAAGGACTGAAATTTTCTCATACCAGTTTTGGAAAGCACAAGGATATACTTTCAGAAGGATAAAGAAAATAAAAAAAAACCAAGTAAACATGCAAAGAGAGAACCTATTCAAGTCCACACTACAACAATAGCAGATAGTATTTATTTGTGACCTAAACCAGTAGAAAGTCCTTAAATGCAAGAAATTAAAGACACTAAAGAAGAAGAGATGGTCAGAATCACAAGCTGGAATCATGTGCCTCTCCTCAAGTGTTTATTAGAGGTATATTTTTTCAAATGAGAAATTATTTCCCACTCTTTTGTGTTAGCATTGAGAATACCATTATGCAAAAGGTAAGCAGGATTCTTCTTCAGAGACTTAAGTCTACTAACTGTGGAAGTCAATAGAAAGCTTAAGTTTCAATTTCAAAAGAAATTAATTCTTCCTGAGTTTCAATCTACAGGGGATTTTGGCCCTTAGAAAAATTATTTTAAAAATTTACACAACATAACATTTTATTAAAAATAACAGCTACATAATCAACACAAAAGACAACAAATGTGATTCCATACCGTTGAAAATGGAAAACATACATGCAGATAAGCCTCATACCACAAGAACCAATATTAAAACAAAATTATATAAAACAAATCAAAACCCTAGCACCTGTCAAGAAGTAGTTGTGCTGGCAGCAGCCCTACGACAGCCAGGGATAAACCTTGCTTTTGTATTTACATTTGTCATCAAATTGCATACTTACAAATGTGTAAATTCATTTACTCTGCTTACATACAGGATAACACAATTCATCAATAAACACAAAGTAAACCAGACCAATGAAAGGCTACAGTTACAAAGCTGGTGATATGCTTTCAGATTACAGGAGGTCAAGGAGAAGAATTTCTATGCTGGTGAACAGTCTCTAGTGCCCAAAAGGCTTTTAGGTCCTACTGGGCAAGCACAAAAAGAAAGGAAGACCTTAAACGAATGAAATGGCAACAGTCTTTTAAAAACATTTAAAAGCTGATTACATAGAAGATGGGTATCAATTTGTTCTTCCTCTTGGTGAAAGAAAAGAAGAAATCTACATAGTTTGAAATAAACAATATTTCAGCTGTGCTTTAGGAAGCAATTTTTAACTGTTAACACTGTTTAGCTGTCTTATTGAGACACTGAGACAGCTTGGCCCTCTTACGAAAACTTTTTTGTTGGAGCTTTCTAAGAACATGTCAGTAAAAACCCACTTGGGATGGTCTGTGTGTATGGTCTGTATTCCAGAGTAGGAAAATGGGCTCCATAATCTCTTGAAATCTGTCCATATTTCCATGATCTGGTCACTGTTGGCCTAACTTGAACTGGGATTAGTAAAGTTGTTTTTCTTGGTGGAAGGCTGTGGGGAGACGAGCAGTGGAGACTCAGCAGATCCAGAGTCAGGCAGACACTCCAGATCAAAGGCTGTGGCAACTTTCCAAGCCACCAGTCAGAGCTGCCCAGATTATTAATCACTGAGAAAGCAAGAATGTCTTTAGCTACCTGAAAAGTAGCCTTTAGCTTAGCATCTGGTACTTAAAGACCAGAATCTATTTTCAATATCGTTATTAGTAATTTCTAAAGAGAAAGTAGATTTATATAGTTCACTATGCTTTTTCCTTGTGTTTTAAAGCTTCACTCAGCTTGGCAGTTAGATATCATGCTAATGTATGTGCTTGTCTCCAGCCACAGAAAATGAATCTGTTACAGCTTCCAATAGAGAACTTGGTTCAGGAAATGGCTTTTTTCCCCCTGAATAGTGGCTCTTGTAAACTGCTTAGAGAGATTTCACATCAAACTAAATCCCATAGTTTCTGAAATCTTTCTAAAACAAAGGGAGAAGCAATTGCATTACAGTCAAGATGAACAACCTAGTCAATTTAATTTGCATTTTATTTTTTCATTAGAAGGAAATAAGGAAACACAGCGGATTTAATCAGATTGTTTGGATGTATACCTTTTGAAGGGAGACAATGTGGAAAACAGGAGAGAGAGCACATGCAAGGCAATGCTGTCAGGCTGTTACCTCAAAACTTGCAGCTCTTCCTCAGAGTTCTGCACCTCGTCCCTGAGGCGGCGCCAGCGAAGCAAAGCTTTCAGCTGCTGCTGCCCTTTTACCTCTTCATGGGAGAGCTGCTTGGGACACAAACACACACAGAGCACTTAGTGCTCCTTCCCAACACACAATAACAACCTTCAGAACAAGAAACTTGTTTTGTTTCTGTTTAATATTTAGAAGATGTATGAAATGTACCAATATCAATGATTTAAAAAAAAGGGGAAAAAAAAAGAGCCAAAAAATAACGGTTGCTGCTATGAGAGTTAACAGCACCACGAGGCAAAACAAAACCCTCACTGTGCACATCAAATCAACAGACTGTTAAATAGTTCTGACTGAGGAGAGAGATGAGCATGTTGTTTTCCCTTTAGTGACTGGCAATGGATGAACTGAATACAAACAGTATAGGTACCTGGCATAGAGGATTTTATGGCATCTTTACCCAGCTTGAAAGCTCAGAGTTGTATTGTGTCCTGACTTCGTTCCTCTTTCCTACTATTCCTGCTACACTTGTGAAAGTTCCCTGTGGTATTTTCCCCCATTTATGTAATATTAACAGAGATTCATACTTATGAAATAAATGCCAGGTCGTCAGCTGACAAATAAATACTAATTCATGTTTCTCTATTATAAGAATAGATGTGAGATGGGGGAAAGCAAAAGCAGCCAATACTACCCTGAATTACATTCAGTCACAACTGAAATTACTGTCATGCACTATAGAACATACTCATAATCCTAAAATTGTATGATTGAATACCTTCAAAACTACTCAATAATGTTTATTATATGTTTATACATTAACAAGGGAACTCATCACACTGTTTTGTGCTTACTCCTTTCCATTCAGCTACAAGGAAGGTGTCTACTACAATCAAAATGCTTTCAAGTGACTCACAAAAGTAAAGAATTAATGTGAAGAGCTCACAGCAGTGTAGTGATGCTGAATGCAAGGGCACAAATGAGTTTTGGAACCAAAATGGAAAAGCCACATGTTTGGACAGCCTCTCTTTCTTGTTTCAGGAATATGGTAAGTGTCAAGGAATTCTGTTTTGTTTGGTGCTGTAAGTTGCCTGATACTTAATAACATGGAGGTTTGGAAGAGTGCATTGTTCCAGATCCCAGTTCAGCCTGCTCCTCCTCAGGTGGAAGCCTGCAGAGCTCAGGGGCAGAACCTGGCACAGCCACAGGAAGAAATGACTGACACACAAAATGCTTGAAGAAGCAGAGGTACTACAAAAGTAAGAATTGCACCAGAAAAACACTTCACAAGCTGACAGGCAACTTAAGAGCTTTTCACCTTAAGGCAGGTGACGATTTCTAAGCCTCTGACATGAGAGTAACTCTTGCTGGGCATGTAAGAGAAAAAAAAAGTGAAGTTCCCTATTTTAAATCATCTTCCATTCTGCTTTGAGGTACACTTCTTGGCCATTCCTTGGACAAAACAGAACATTTTCATTACGTACCTGGAATATTACAATATGCAGTAAGACTCTTGATTGTTCCAGCTTCAGGTACACCATATAAGTAGAAAGAATGCAGAGCCATTGTTTGATAGCTGAATTTTAATAACTGAGTAGTACATCTGTGGAAAGGTAATAACTGACAAACAGACATTTCCATTCTCGTTTGCACTGACCTCTACCACCATGAAGATTTGTGTTCAACATAGATCACATTTTTTTAAACAAGTTAGCATGCATATTCCAATATTATTTTAAAATACTTTTCTTCACAACAGAGGAGGTTTAATTTATCTCTAATGCATGCCACATATATAATTTTGATTTCCACATTAATTCAATTTTGAAACAATGTACCATCACCTTACCTGTTGTGCCCTAACCCAAAATACATCTTCTAAAAAAGTGGCAAAGCCTTCACTGATCCACTCTTCAGTCCAGTCCCGAGCACCAATGGCCAGCCCAAACCAAGCATGAGCGATCTCATGGCACAGACGAGTTCCACAGAGATGGTTCCCTCCTGGCAGGACACTCTGAGACAGGAAGATGATGTGTGGGCTGCACAAAACCAGTGACAGAATATATTACTGACCTGTTACAACATGCATTGCATGGCCACCAAAATAAGGGAACCAAAGCATGGCCTGGATTGAAGGAACTTTAAAGATCATCCAGTCACAGCCCCCTGCTGTGGACAGGGACACCTCTCACCACATCGGGTTGCTCAGAGCCCCATCCAACCTGGCCTTGAACAGACCAACTGATGGGGCACCCACAACTTCTCCAGGAAACTGTTCCAGTGCCTCACTATCCTTACAGGGAAGCATTTTTTCTTATTATCTAATCTAAATTCATCCTCTTTCAGTTCGAAAGCGTTCCCCCATGTCCTGTCACTACATGCTCTTGCAACAAGTCTCTCTTCAGCTTTCCTGTAGGCTCCCTTCAGATAGGCTTTATTAGCCTCTAAGCTTCTTATTAGTATATGCATGCTAGGTCATGACTCACAGTTTAGAGCTCAAGTGTTTTTAGGAATTAAGTTGTACTTTCTTGTTGGTTGGCAGAGAATCAAACTAAAATTCCAAGCAGTTGCATTGCATTCAACCGTCAAACAGCTACTACCTGTAAGAAGTAACTGAAACCAAAGTTACTTTCAAACTACAAGACTGATTTATTTCATTAGAAACATTCATCACAGAGAGATGAGCAGGTGTGAATACAGGCAACAAGAATTCGCCAGTTAAATGATCAAAGATGGAAATAAAAAAAACAGAAACATTTATTAAAGAAAACAAATCACTATCACTATGTTACTGAAAGTAAAAAGAGTAATGTAGAGTGAAACACATGTGCTTGTTAAAGCCTATAACAAGCTAAGAAGATACCATCTCATGGTAACAGCTGATCGTGTCTGCAAATGCAGAGGAAGAAGAACATATTTTACCACAACCACTAAAGTGAGAAGAAGCGAGTATCTGTTTTTCACAACACTGGGGGAACAATCCAATCTGTATCTACTTTGCTTTGGACTCAAATACTGTAAAAAGACATTGGGGGAAAAACTGTTATGAATTATCACTCTGCTATTGAAAACAGACTGAATTGCAAGTTACTGCAGCTCCATGTTCTACTGCAAGGTAGATTCTGCTATGCTTACAGACATCAGACCTTAACTTCTCAAAAGCTATAAAATTTCTGAAACTAACTATATCTAGGAAATAAAAGTAGCAGAATTAAGTTCTCTGACTAATGTGCAAGGTTATTAGTGTACTATGTCACAGATAGAGTAGCAAGGGCACAAACCAAGAGGACCATCTGCGAAGTACTCCTGCACTAACCCACAGTGTCCATCACCTGCACTTCAACTCTTTTCTCACTTCCAGTCAGTTAGAAAGGAAATAAAGCACAGTGGTGATACCTTCAAGACCACATGTCTTTAAAACTTGGTTTTAAAGCATGGGAGGGGAGTGTGTGGCCTTAAGGCATTTCCAAGAGTCAAATATTATTCATCAGCATTCCAAAAAGCTTCCCCACCCGCTCTACCCTTCCGTTGGAAATGTTCTAACACCCACATTTTTCCTGCAACCAGTTGAATGTCTGGAACTGAGACCATAAAAGATGATATGCACTCATACTCAACAACCATCCCCTTATTAAAAAATCATAGTTACCCAGCCAAGCAAGTTAATACGTTTCAACCAGATGGTATTGTAGGAAACAATGTAAGAAATTAAAGAACTAAATTGAGGAACCAAGTAACACAGAACAAAGAAAAAACAGCAGCTATCCAAATCTTTACCAAAAACAATTCTGATTAAGAGAAGGAAGGGAGGGAGAGAGAGATGGGGAGAAGGTGCAAACACAGAAGCTGCAGAACACAATTGATCTTTTATTATAAAACCCCTGAGGAAAAGAATAACCACAACTTTGAGGACATTACTTCAGTCAGTTTTAAGTAAATGATCCCTCCCCTCACTGTGGCATGTGTACATGCTGCAAAGAAAAACTGCAGAAATAGGCCAAGTAAATAACATTACAGACAAACTGCTGGCAACATTTCCATTACGGAAGACAAAAGTAACTTCACACCTTATAAACAGGGTCACTGAACAGTTGTACATTTTAAGTCTACAGCAGGTAAATATATAATAAAAGTAAAGACTGTATTTTCTGCTCTTTCCAATCACTTAAAAAACAGAAATGCTACAATTTTGAACAGTATTCTCCTTTATAGAAGGATTACAAATGATTTCAGCAAGAAAAATGTATAGGAGTTAAATTTTGACCAAAGACTATGAGTACAGCTTCGTAAAAGGTCAAAAATTAGATTATGTGCTGCAGCAGAGTTTAATTTTAAAATCTGAGTACAGCCAGCAACCTCCTTTCTGGAGAACACCTTAAATTATTCCTTTTATTTTGTTTGCCCTTAAAAACCAGTTTTATCTCCAATTCAGAGCAGTGCAAAGTTCCTATTTGTCTTAAGACCAGTTTTATCAGACTGAACTGTCTCTGGAACATGTCCAGCACCTATTAGTTTGGGGAAAAGTTTCACTCTGCGTATTTCTTTAAAACACAGATTCTCTATTTTCAATGCACGTTTGAACTTCAGAAACTCTGCTCTGCCTCTACTGATACCAACCAAATCTACATTTCTAACATCATCTAGGATGTGCAGTGTTCACAGAATCACAGAATGGCTTGGAGTGGAAAGGACCTTAAAGATCACATAGTTCCAACTCCTCTGCCAGGGGCAGGAACACCTTTGACTAGACCAGGTTGCTCAGTGCCCCAGCCAGTGTGGCTTAAACACTCACGGGGATCTACAACTTCTCTGGGAAACCTATTCCAGTGCCTCACCACCCTCACAGGAAGGAGTTTTCACCCAATATCAAATGTAAACCTACTGTCTCTCAGTTTGAAGCCATTTCCCCTTGACCTGTCCTTACATGCCTGTGTAGAAAATCCCCCTAGATCCTTCCTGCGGGCTCCTTTAAGGTACTGGAAGGCACCAATTAGGTCACCCTGAAAGCTTCTCCTTTCCAGGCTGAACAATCCCAATTCTCTCAGCCTTTCCTCATGGGGGAAGTGCTTTATCCCTCTAACCATCCTGGTGACCCTCCTCTGGACTCATTTGAACAGGTCAATGTGTTTGGGGAATGTTATGAATGTTACTAATTGCACAACACACCAGTGTTGTTCCTAAAAAAATAATTCAAGAAGGTGTCTAAGTGAAAAATAAGATTATTGGAATGGTAATTAAATTGCAAGACTTTTTTTTTTTTTTTTTGCAACTTATTTGTTTTTTAACCAGAAGATAAATTTGGCCTTCCTACCATCTGTTTGATTTACTAGGAACAAATTATAAGGCTTGATATCCATTTTTTTGATTTTAATTGAAAAAGAAAGAAATCCGTTCATCCATAAGGAATGGACAAGTGTTCACCTCAGAAATTACATCAAGACCTGACGAGGTCTTTGCAGCTTATAAATGCTTCTAGGAAGTTTCTAAAGCAGGTCAGAACAGGTTGGCTGGATGTGGTAAGAAAAATGCAAAACTTCTCCTAGTTAACAAAAAAAACAACCACCCCACCAGTCCTTGCCAGGAAGCTGGACAAGTTCCCAACAGCTCTTACAGAAAAGGAAGTTAATTACTTGTTTTCAACAAGTATACACTTGGTTACACTTCCACAGCAAAACAGAATTATTCTGATGAGAATCACACACTCATAACTTAGATGTTTGCATCGCTGGATTGGATGAAGGAACAAGTTTCCTCCCCCAGTTAAAATGCAGTTAAGGGAAATCTTGACACTGTAACTATGGTATGAATACATATAAAGGAAAAACTGAGCCCTGAAGGAAAGAAATTGTTGGTGTGAAAGGCCAAAGAGTTCTGATGTTCCCATCATTCAAATCCACCCATGCTGATATTCTCAAGATATAGAAGATATTTTTAATAGACCTTATTAAACCACTGGCCTCAACCCAGTGATTCAGCCTGTCCAGATCCCTGTGCAGAGCCTTCCTACCATCCACAGATCAACACTCCCACCCAACTTGGTGTTGTCTGCAAATGAACAATCTGGTAGTAATACAACTAATTCCTTCAAACAATTATGCCTTATACTCTCTCTTAGAGCACACACTTTGACAGGGGTAAGACAAGCACCTTTAATTGGGTTTTTACAAAAAATCACAACACAACTTCTGTGTGCCTGATATCCTGCTGCACTCATATCCAATAAATTCTGCCTGTTCAAAATATTCTGACGTGGGAAGCAAATCAAGAAGGAAACAGAGATTGTTGTATTTTCCATGCAGACTTGGGTCTCATGTCTGAGATTCAAGCACTGCCAGTAAACTAACCCAATCTGTAACAATGTCATGAGGAACTAGAGGAGACAAGAACAAGCAGCAGTCAAGAAAGAACTGTGGAGGTGAGGAGTTATTCACCAGCTGACCCCTGATGCTCCCAGGACATCTAATAGCAGCTCTAGCTCACTGCTTTTCATCTTACACATTCTGTATCACTATGAAGAATTTGCAGGGCATGAACCTTTCCCATAACTCTCTAGATATTGTTTCCTAATGTCTTATGTAAGCACAGCAATATCTATTCATTCAGAAACTTCCACAAACCCAGGATTTGTGACGGGCAGCAAACTGCCTGCTACTGTAAAGAGAAAGAAGGAAACACAGAAAATTATAGAGTGGAGGAAAAGAAAGAATTACAGATTCAAAACCACAAGCTCCCATCAAGATTTTTTAATACAGATTTGTTTGAAACCTCCCGCCTCCCAAAAAACACAAAGTAATGCATTCTATTATAAAAATCAATTACACAATACCTCCTAGGAACAAATGGCTACCATAGTGCCAAAAATCTTACAGCCAGCTTTTCAAGAGAAACACCTGGAGGGACTACAGTTTTTCATGTTGTATAGCACAGAATGAATTTTTCATATTTACCTGATTATGGGTAAGTGCCAATACAACTACATCAATAAATATAAGCATCTGTTTAACTCAAAAAAAAGCCAACAACCAAGCCAACTCTATAT